AAAAAAATTATATTTTCCTGCGAAAATTTAAGTAGATGTTTTTGATTTTGGTTTATGGAGAAGGAATCACTTCCACTTTTCAGCAAGTAAATTGGTTGCTAGATAAATTTATATTAGATTGAGTCAAAGAATTTCCGTTTTTGTTCAACAACTTTATTCGTCAAAAAATAAAGTACAATCACGATTTATTCAATTACACATCCACAGTTATTTGCAATGAATTGTTGCCACTCATCAGGAAGCTCTTTGATAGTTTTTTAGTAAAAATCTACAGGTACTGACGTAAATATATTTTAACAAAAATTAAAGAAAATTTTCCCCAATCAAAGATTTTTGATCAATAAAAGTAATAATTGGTTGGTGCAAGGTTAGATGGGATAGAACACACTAAACAAATACTAAATTTTCTCCTCCGTTATTCTTGTTGTGTGGAGGAAAACAGCATTTTTTTTATTGATGATTGCCGGGCGCTTTTCAGAACACGTTAAAGTAAGCTCTGTTCCATCTTCAAGTGAAAAAAATTTCGCTTGAAGATGGAACAGAGATTACTATAACTCAATTTAATTCAAATAATTGTATTGAAGTTTTCGGCTCTTGTTTTGAAACATGAAACCTCTTATGTCGCGAGTTGGAATCATATTTTTAAATAAATATATATATATATATATATATATATATATATATATATACACAAATATATATATATACATATATATATACATATGTATACATATATACACATATATATATACATATATACATATATATATATATATATATATACATATATATATATATATATATATATATATATATTTAAGTTATATATATATATATATATATATGCACATGCATGTAGGTTATTTTTAATGGATAATCCTGTTTGAGTTGCTATTCTGTTTTTGTTTTTGTTAATTAATAACAATGTATATATATATATATATATATATATATATATATATATATATGGTTGGATAGATGTCAGTTTGTTAGGTCTATCTCTGATATTGAACGCTTTCTAATAAGTACCGCGCATATAATATATAGATAATTATACATATATATATTTATTTATATTTATACACACACACACACACACACACACACACACACACACACACACACACACACACACACATATATATATATATATATATATATATATATATATATATATTAACTTGGTGGCAATTTTTAACGGTGAGATACCTTTCAATATTTAATAAGCAAAGCTTAGTCTGATGCAAGAGAAAAGCTTAAGTCACTCGCTGAGTTTGGAAATCAATATATAAGTAATGGTCTACATGATATAGAAGATAATCAGGACTTGTCTGACAGTCATCAAAACAAGAAGAAATAATTACAGTTAGAAATAACAACAGCAAAACCGAAACCGTTTCATTTAATTACTTGGTGAAGTCAGCCAAAGTAACCCGAATCAATTCATAACGAAAAAAAAAGTGAAGGTCTTACAATGCGCATGCGCCTGCAGACATAACATCCGTTCAGAAGACATAGAAACCCAGGTGCAATGTCTTTCAACTAGATCTCGTTCACACGTTCCTTTTGAGCCCATCTGGCAAGGTTGAAGATTTTGTAACGGCAATCATTTTTTTTTTTTTACTTTTAAATCATTTTAAACCCGATGGTTCAAGTATGCAGACACCGTTACCTTAAATTTAAGAGGGGTTCATGTCAGTAGGTATGGGTGAATTTTCAGTTGTTCAAGATTTAATTAATTTTCTTTTTTAAATTAAATAACCAGATTGAATTTACGCCTGCAGGTTTGTACGTACGCACACACATAGATATGTGTGTGTGTGTGTGCGCGTGTGTGCATGTGTGTGTTTGTGCATGAGTATGTGTGCATGTATATGTGCACATATGAACTTCATTTTCAGGTATGATTTCGAGAAATGCGTGAGACATATATATATATATATATATATATATATATATATATATATATATATATATATATATATATATATATATATATATATATATATATATATATATATATATATATATATATATATATATATATATATATATATATATATACCATTTAGCTACAGAGGAAGCGTCTGGTTAGCAAAGTCAATTACTTTTTTAAACAACAAATTTACCATGTTATAGCACGTCAGGCTATATGGCGCTTCCGTATAAGATTGAGGTTCGATTCCTGTCTGAGGACACTTATTTTCTATGAAATTTCTCGGGCATACAGGTCAGTAAATGTAGTTAATACTGTTTATTATAAGCAGACCATTTACTTAAATATTTTTATCCATAAAAAATAACCATAAGCAGAAAATATATTAAATAATTTTGGGATTTAATTTTAACTTAATATCGCTCTCTCTCTCTCTCTCTCTCTCTCTCTCTATATATATATATATATATATATATATATATATATATATATATATATATATATATATATATATATATATATATATATATATATCCTTAATCCTATTAATTTCATTGTATATATATATATATATATATAATTACATTCCCAGACCAAAACAAACTACTAAATACACGATCAAACTCATCTCAAAATACAGGTACAAAAACAAATTTTTACACCGCTTCTTATTTCTTCACCACTCATTGAGTGGATCTTACAGTTTCCAGAAGAGAGCTCACTTTCGTTCAAACATTCAAACTGCGATAATTTTTAACTTCTCTTCAAGTGTTTGTTCTATCGAATTTCACTCACTAGATTTTGGTCAATACTTAGTAGGATTTTCAAGCACTTCCAAGAGTTGTTGCACGCTTTGATCGTCTCCTCAAACCTACATTATCATCTCTCTCTCTCTCTCTCTCTCTCTCTATATATATATATATATATATATATATATATATATATAAGCACAAATACATTTGAATAAATAAAATTCTAAAAACTATATTGATCTCACAGTTCAAGAGCCCAAGAGCTACTCAAGTTATATGGCTAATGAATGAGGTTGTTTTATGCACGTATTAGAGTTATGAGGATATATATTGTTAAATAATAGTTTCATATTATTATTTTTAATGGCAGTGTATTTTGATACGTCAGATTGTAGACAAAATAGTGATGTTGATTTTGTTGGCTGAGCTGAAACTGGGAATAAGTTATAGATTAAGATTTTTCGGAGAGTTGCTGTTTGGGCGTCAGGCTAACTAAATGTGTTTATGCAAGACCCCTCTTTCGAGAGTTGGTTCTTACACGTCAAAGGAAATGGACGTATGAGATTTTCGTTTTTGGAAGCGGCTCCCAAATAGGTAGTGTAGTAATCACCACTTGATACCCGTCGACGAGGTCAATAAAATAATCGTTAAAAGTTCTCTTTGTTGATGCTTTTTGTCTCTGAATCCAAAGAACATTTCGTGACACCGACCAAGAGAATATGAAGATTGAACTAAAGCGACCAGCGATCACTGGCCAGATGAGACCAAGCACTTCCGCTCAATGAAGGGTATGCAACAGTAATGGTTGCGTAGACTTGAAGTGGTTAAGATTGTAATGATCAGGGAAGCATCCTGTCGGGCGTCTGTTGCACAAGACAGCACCCCTTGGGAAGAAGCTGTTCAAATGGAACTTCTTATCAATGGAATACAAAAGATATGGGGATGGTTCTGTTGTTCTTGATGACGGCCGTCTTTGAGTATAGAATCCAGAGGTTAGCAGTGAATATTTCGAAGACAGTAGGGAAGCGTTGTTGAGGTTAGCAGTGGATATCCCGGTAAAGTAGAGTAGTTCTTAGTAGTTCTTCTTTCTGTTTCTCTTCGCCTGACAAGCTGGCACTGGACATTCGGAGAGAGTAAACAAAATGGCCGCCTTTATACACGACGGATTGAATATTCTACGTCTTCTGATTGGTTAACCTTCTATTGGTGGACTATAAAGTGAGTCAAGTCATTTGGGCTAGCTCACTAGTACATATATGTATACAAAAAACGCCCCTGTGTACATGACATGACAGTCTTAGCTGTAAAGGTCTCAACTGGTGGAACTAGGCAATGTAGCTCCATCGAAATAGCGATAGAGTAGAAATTGGCTTGCGATATTGCCCCACTGTGGAAAGGGGTTGTAAGGTGGAAAATAATTAATCTCTTAGAATTGCACTTAAACGCTTTTAGAATAGAAAGAAAAGATTGGGCAGCTGCAGCATGGCAAAAACACTCCACTTTTGATATAATCTGACTCTTGCAAAGATAGAGCACGGTAAGCGGAATCAAGTACTTTCAGGAGTGGTATAGGGAGCTGACCATGTTTTCAGTATCTTTAGCGATGAGTCGTATATATGAATTCCACTTTATGTCTGGAGTGTACTTGAGTCCCAATAGGCAATCAAAGTTAGGAGCATCATGACTGTTTAGAATTCAATGTCATTTCGATGATGATTAGTTACTAGCTTGGATTTTGTGGCATTGATAGTACAACTAAGTGCAACCTCTATTAGGCTCGGTCAGATGAGAGATCAGCTGTCGGGTGGGGAGAGAGATAGAGTCATATCTTTTCCAAGCGTATTCGAACTCGACTCTCTGAGTTTTCACACGGAACCATTGTCTGTTCCACCACCTGTACATCCTATGTGTGAATAAACTATATTGCATATGAAATAAAACAGATAAAGAATTATCTTTATAACTAAATTTGAATTATGCCCTTTGAAAGATTTTCGTAGCCTAATCGGTAAGGCTCTATTCCGGTCAGATATGAATCCAGGGAGACTAATTCGTTGTTTTCGATCTATGTTGCTTACTTAAGGATCTTTATATATAAAACGTGAACGTTGATGTCAGCGAAATTAATAAAAGGAAAGAAAAATTCGTATAAATTAATTAAACTATCTGTACTAATTTGGCGAATATAAACAACGGCTGAACAAAATGCCAAACGACTATTGATTTGCTGCTGTTGTTGCTTAACATTCAAATTTAAAAAAATAAAATAAGCAAAATAAAACAAAATGCAGTTTAAAGTGAATGTGCAAAGGATGCATTCTCCTTTTACTGCTTCACCAATTATACGTTTCCAACTAAAATCTACTGATACACCTCAAATAAAAGTAAACAATAGCATATCTTAACAAACATTACAATGTTTGGCTGACGAATCGTTTGTTGATTTCTGATGAACAGCCAATCAACATATTGTATCTCTGGATTACGCGAAGAGAGGGGATCTGACGTCATCCACAAACTGTAATGAAAAACTTTTGCAGACGAGAACAGCTGTGTTTATTGTGGGGTTTATAATCAAAGTAAGAAAGAGAGTAAATACACACATATATCCACATACACATAAAAGTGGGTTAATCTTTCCTCACTATCAGCTGCATGCTGGGTATCTGTTCCATCCAAAATGTTAAATTTATACATAGTTTTTGACTGATACACTAGTAAGTTACAAAGGTACAAATAGTTTGTTTTTTTTAAAACAGAGAATAAAAAAAGAATTGACCAAATAAATAAATTTTATTTTGTTTTGGAAATAGAATAGAAAATATTTAGACATTGTTGGTTTTTATCGGAAACTGATTAAATAGTAAGAGATTATCATTACTAAACATAATTAGGTATGGCTCAAGGCCAAGGTGTGAGATGTTCAGCGAGGAGCGAACTAACTCCAGTAGTGATTGTACTGAAGTAGTTGTCATGATAATAGGGCACCCGGTGAGGAACAAATTCAATACTTAAGCGAGTCTGTAATAGGCATGACACTAATAGAAGTTTCCTGTTGTTATAAAACCAGATTCATTTTTATAAATAATTATTTTGGTTTCAAAATGTCCGAGTATAAGATAAATGACTTAATAAGCGCCTGGGGTGCTCATTAGTTATCTGAACTTTTACCTCGGGGTGTTTATTTGGCAGGATTCTAGTTGCCATTTAGATATTTTCTCAAAAGGATATTAATCTTTTTAAGATTAAAAACAAACTGTGAAACAAGTTTCTCTTTATCGGTCTTACACGGTTGATCTTTATCGTAACAATCTATAAACTCATTGGTTAGGTGGGGAGCACTTATTCGGTAGGTGATGTAATGAAATAACCTGTCACCCCCATTAGTTACTGGTGCAGAAAGAGGAATTGGCAACCTTTTTCCAAATTCCCACCTAGTCTGTTGCATTCACTTTTGGCATGAATCCCTCAGTTATAAGTTAAATAAGAGGATAGTTTGGGCTTTCTAGTCTTAGATAGCAACCAATCTAGGACTAGAAGGACAACTCTGAATTCAAAACCATAAAGAAAGTAAAATGAACTTTCCAAAAAGTTACAGCAATTCACAGATAAAGAAACAAAATCTGTTGAACCATCTTTGCTTTTGTCATGAAGGCTTTTGAAACAAAAAAATTTCAATCTTGGATTTGATAAGAACTTCCTTGGCATTAATCATTGGATTTTTCAAGAACTGATGTAATGGAATAACCTGTCGCCCTCATGAGTAACTACCTATAAGTATCTGTAAGTCAACGGACTCCAGAGACTAGCTGGGATCTGTTGAGTAAGACTTACGCTAGAATTACCGACCTTCCAATTGTAACACTCACTACTGGATTGACTTGCGACGACCTTGTTTATAACTGTTACCTTTATCCTTATTATACTGTTTTTTTTTTTTTACAATAAACCTTTATTTATTTTATCCACCTTGTTTTTTCAAGTATATATTCCTATTAGCATGGAATATAACAGTAGGCTTATTAGAAATCCTAGCTATTACTCCGAGCGCTTATTTGACAAAGTCTAAAATCAGCAAAAGGCCTTAATTTGGTCATTTATGTTATTCATTCTTTTGATGCTAAATTTGTTTAATGGTCCATTTCTAGTTCAAATCTAACGTCTAGAACTTTGAGAAGAATGATTAACATGTTCAATATTTTTCGAAACCTTCTTCGTATACACGCTTTATATTTCGGTAAATACATTCTTCAGTCCTCTTCAAGGAGGTTAATTTTTTTCCTTGAAGAATGAAGTTTCTTTTCTTTTCTACTCACGGAATACAACTGATAACAAAATACCTGGAGCTACTAAACGTTCGCCGCCTGAGTAAGCAGTGAGCCTTGTGAAAAGGGTTTTAATTTCTGCTTTCAGCCATTGAAGTGAAATATGATTTGTTCTTTGCCTAGCAAATACAAAATAATGGAGCACCAAGTGATGAAAGAATTAACTACTCAAGCGAGTTGATCTGTAATAGCCGCCATAGCTATTACAGGCTGACTCGCAATAGTCCCGGTGAATGTTTGCAACCTGTTGTTATATAACCCCATTCATTTATATAAATGATTATGTTATATTTTAGTTTCAAAATGTTCGAATATAACGTAATTCCATAAGGATAAAACTCACTGACAATGACTAGTGAGATCAGTAGTAAGTTTACTTCATATTTACCAACATCTATTCAGGCGTAATTTGTAATAATTTGAGAAGCAAAATAAAAAAATACAAATGATAGAATTTACATAAGCGTAATTTTTATTAGAAGACGACCAGAGATACCCGGTGTTATTCGGGAACTAATTCTTTTTCTAAATAAAAATAACTATTTCATTTGTATAGATTATTAAAATGACTTAGAGAACTAACCAATCTTAAATTTACTTTCTTAAATTGATTTACTACCCTTCCCACTAGAGAGCGTGGCGCGAAAGATATAAATAAATAAATACACAACGGTAATTATTACATAGTGTTGATTTATGTACAGCGTAACGGTTATCGGCGCGGAAAGGGGAGCCATGTTCTAGCTTAGACTGATGCGTTTATTTTTGTCCTGATGTCCTTGGGAAGGGCATGAATCCATGTATATGACTGCAAAATACAGATTAAATAGAATTTTATTTTGTACTTATTTTGCAGTCAAATAATTATTTTGGATTATTTATTGAAACTTATATGTTTTGATTTATGTGTATGTATATGTATTTGTGTATTTATGTATGTATATATGTGCATGTGTATGTGCGTGTATGTGTGTATATCTATATATATGTATGCATATATTTTTGTATGTATATATGTGTATTATTGTGTATGTATGCATATATATGCATATAATGGGGTTTGTATGTGTGTGTGTGAAATATATATATATATATATATATATATATATATATATGTTTTATATATATTGTATATATATATATTGTGTGCATGTATATATATATATATATATGTGCATATACGTATACATATGTGTGTGTATGTATGTGTATGCATTGTATATATGTGATTACATGTGTATTTGTATAGATGTGTATATTTGCATGTTTTTTTATATCTATATGGCAGAGACACACACACACACAGACACATATACGTAGACACACACACACACACATATATATATGTGCTGTATTTTATTTTATGAAGATGAATTCGCTATAATGAATTTAAGGTTTTTATATATTATATTATTAATTTTCACTCTTTTATATATATATATATATGATGATTGGTATTATACTAACCTAAATTAGATGATGATGATTTAATTTCAATGTATTACAATAGTTGTCATTTCTACTCCCCCACTATCCTCAATAGGTCAAGTAATTTAGACATTTACATCCTGTTCTCTTTGTGTTTTAATTTCAAACAATTGTTAATGTACTGTCTGGATAAATTTAAACCATTTATAATTTCAGTCTGATGAGGCAGATATTATGAAGTTATCTGTCGAAATAAATTCGATGATGTGTTAAATCTCTTGTTTTGATGTATATATATATATATATATATATATATATATATATATATATATATATATATATATATATTATTTTTTATGCATACCCTTATTTGAGTAGACAACCCGTTTATTTAAACAGTATTTTCGTTCGTCTACCGGCCTGAATATTCGGGGAAACATATTAAAGAAAATACGCACTCCGGCCGGATTCGAACTAGCATCCACCTAAATAAATTAATCCGACATGCTTTGATAACTCGGCTATGAAGAACTTCCCAAAAAGCATGATTCTATTGTCCTTTTAAGCGTACTTTACTTGTTCAGATTTCATCGAAAGTCATAACTGCTCAGTTTGGTACTCGAAACGTAAACAAAGTATGAGTTAATGGATTTTGTTTATTAAATCGACATTTTTTTATTAGCTCAAAGGTTATTTTTAGTGGATACACATATTTGAGTAGACTCTCCGTTTATTTTAGACAGTATTTTAGTTCGTCCACCGGTCTGAATATTCGAGAAGTCCTATCTGGTTAACCGACTCAAGAGATTCGCGTCGAAGCGCTCACTAGGGCCAGATGTTTGATAAATATAATGTTTGATTAGATTTATTGAATTATATATATATATATATATATATATATATATATATATATATATATATATAAGAAAAAATGATAGCTTACAAAGCAGGACTTAAAAAGTACTTGGCCTTAGAAAGAAGGGATTTATAAACAACTCTGATGCTAGGTTATTTGATCAGGTTTTGGGAAATGGATTGGACTCATTCATATTATATGTATGCGTATGTTCGTGCGGATACATGCACGTGTGTGAGTAAGTGCGAATTTGGTGAGAAGGTCGAGTATGAGGGCGAAGACTCAAACCATGAGGGGGAATAAGAACAATATTAACAGTGTGTGTGAGTGTGAGGGTGTGTGTGTGCGTGGGTGCATGTATGTGCGTGCGTGTGTGTATAAGAGAAAGAGAAAGAAAGAGAGAGAGAGAGAGAGAGAGAGAGATAGAGAGAGGGTTAGAAAACCGACAAGAAAAAAATTACAGTCTAAAAATGAAATGAAAAAAATGCTGAAAAAAAAAGCTCTGATAAAATGAAAATAAAGAGAAAAGGGTGACAACTGATTTTCTACGTAAATGATATCTTTTAACTCGTATCAATTTTCTTATCCAGGTCTCACTAGGTGGCGCTGCCAGTCAGTGTACCAATTACAGCGAATAAGTTTGGCAGGATTCATGTCTCAAATCGACTCATTAATTTTGATCTTTCGACATTCAGAGGTCAACTTCTGCAACTTGTCAGATCAAGCGGTCACCATTTTACCTCAAGAGCAGCTCAAGTTGCAACCGACCAATGAG